TGGAATAGTAGCCAGTTCTCGTTCTTTTCTTGGAGGATGTAGGTGTGGGAGGTGGTTGCAGGTGAATACTCCACAATCATTTGGGGTGTTCTCAGTTCAATTTCAGCTGATGCTTTATTTGTAATAATTGGTCTATTTCCTATACATTTATTAAATAAATAGAAAACACTTTTTCTTTCCCCCCCCCCCACATAGTAACTATAAGATTGTCTGAGAAATAATGGTTTTAGTTAACCTTCGGTTATGCAACCCTACATTCTCCCAGTTGATTTTTGGGGGGCTGCTTATGCTACAGTGGGGTTTTAGCATATTACTGAGCTATTACTGGTGGCGGTAGTGCTGGTGGAGGTGGAAGCCATGGGAACTCAGCCTCCCAGCCTGGCCCTGAAGTTGTCTGGTCTTTCTCACACCGTCCAGAGCAACTGGCTGTTCTTGATTATCCACTCGAGTCCATCTTCCACACATCGGCTGGAGGGGGCTTTTAAAAATGTGCATTTGACCACATCACTCCTTTACCTAAAATTCTTTAGCAAAACAGTCACAGGCCAATCGTCTGACTCTTCCCCATGGCTCTAGCCACTGAGGTTCTTTGCTGCCTCTGGGTCTTTATCTGATGCTGCCCCTGCCCTTTGCATGGTTGGCTCCTGCTCCTCCTCTGGGCCCCTACTTAAGTGTCACCTTCTTAGACAGGTCCGCCTCGACCAACCAATCTTTCAGTAATCCACCTAGTATTCTACTTTTAGCATCTGCATCCTTCTCTTCATAGTACTTGTCACAAAGTTGAATGTGTGTGTGTGCGTGTGTGTGTGTGTGCGTGTGTGTGTGTGTGTGTGTGTGTGTGTGTGTGTGTGTGTACACGTGCCGTTTTATCTGATTCCTCTCCTGGACTGAAAAAGGTCCATTAGAGCCAGGACTGTACCTATTTCGTTTGCTATGCTATCACTTAGTCCATCCAATACCTGCCACAAACAGGCACACACACAAATTATTGAAAAATGACTTAAGCATCAACTTTTTTTATAATTCCTTCTATTGTTGACCTTAACTAGTATTTCATTCATTCTGTATCTATTGACTGGGTTTCTACTGTGAGTCAGGTACTGTTCCTGGTACTTGGAATGCAACAAGGAATAAAGCAGACAAAAGTCCCTGCCCACAGGCTGCCTTTTGGACGGTGAGTCAGGCATGGTTTTATGTATGCATGTTCTGTGTCACAGATTCTCAGTTCACTTATTTGCTCAGGATCCGCCTGGCCAGTGGGAGTTAGGAGCATACATGCCCCCTCCTTCCATCTAGCTTCCACTCGGTTCCTCAGGGGGCCCCGATGAGACTGACCCAGTTGCTAACAGAGGCGACCGCCTAAATTACACACCCTTGGATGGGCTTTCTCCCCCTGCCTGTTTCCTTCTTTCTGCTCCTGATTCCTTTTCCACCCCCTTTCCATGGGGTGACTTCTTATCAAAAACTATCTGCTCACAGGTCCTTCTCCAACACTGCTTTTGAGGGGAACCCAAGCCAACAAAGCTAGCATTTTAATTCTTTTGTCAGGTTATTTTCTACATTTTCATCTTGGGTCCCTAGCTGTATTTTGGGTTCCTAAAGGGCAGGGACCTGATAGTCTTTTTTTGTGTGTTTTCCCACAGTTACTAATTTGGGGCCTGGCAAATATCAATAAACGTATGTTGATTTTGATTTGATTTGACAAAAGGGAAGGATACAGTAGCTATCTGTCGCCCAAGGGAGGCCAGAGTCACTTCTGTTACAGAGACCTTTGCTTGATGTTGGATAAGGCTGGGACCTGCCAGGACAATTATCGTTTTCTCTTTCTCGTACCCATCCTACTTCCCTTTCAGGTCTCTGCACCCTTGACTTTCAGCAGCAGCGGGTCACCAGTCACTGAAGTAGCTTAGGTGGGGGCTCACTCAAGAAGCTCTATCTGCCACCTGCTCCTTCTTAGCTGGGGGTGGGAGAGGGAGACCAACTCCTCCTTCTCAATGGCAGGATCCACATGTCTGTCATCAGGCACCAGGGAAACCAGATTGTTAGGACCTGCTCCCATAAGGTCACAGTCTGGGACTCCAAATGAGTGAGTGAATGACTTCAAAATTCAGTATCAACCCTGACTGAATCTCATGGAAACAGAGAGTGCCAGGCCCCCGGTAAAGGTGCAAAGTGGTTTGGAAGTATTCTGCAGACAGACAGGAGTTATAGTCAAGGATCCACCACTAATTTGATGCTTCTCTGGTCGTTTACCACTTTTCTGCCCACAGTTTCCTGAAAATGAGAAGGTCTAGCTGATCTCAAAGATCCCCCAGCTCTAGGATTCTTAAATTACAGAACTGAAAGGAAGCTGATCTGTTGGTTATACTTCAGTCTTTTTTTTTTTTTCCCCCTTAAAAAACCCTCACTGCTGGAAACAGCCCATGTCTACACTCAACCCACCAGGATACAGCTCTAGCACATTTGTTCTTGCATACTCCCAGGCAGCCATGCTCAATTACATAAAAGCCTGGCATCCACTTGATCTTTTTTTTTTTTTGCAATTGAAATTTTTATCGAGATAATTTTAGAATAATTCGTATTCAGTCGTAAGAAATAATACAATTTGCCCAGTTTTCTCCAATAATAAACATTTTGCAAAACTTTAGTATGCTATTACAATTAGGATATTGACATTGATACAATCTGCCTATCTTATTCAGATGTCTCATTTACCTGTACTTATTTGTGTGTGTCTAAGTTTTTTATAAATTTTATCACCTTCTCTAAAACCACAAGTCCTAAAACCACAAGAATAACTTGTATTGCTCTTTTATAACCACACCGTCCCTTCTTCTCATCCCTCTTCATCCTCCACTTGATGCGTTTTTCAAAGATGTTATTTGAAAATAATTTCAAACTTACAGAAATGTTCCAGTACACCCTGCACCAAGATTCACTGACAGTTAATTAATATTTTTCCCATTTATCATTTTTTTCCTATTGACATTCTTTTTTTCTGAATCGCTTGAAGGTAAGTTGCATACATCACGCCCCCTTATCCCTTCTTGATACTTAGGTGTGTATTTCCAAAAATAGGGATATTCTTCTACATGACCATAGCACGAATTAACGACATCACGAATTTAACATTTTATCCAGTACTTTAATCTTTCAGGACTCCAATGTGTCCATCGGAATGTCCTTTATAGCATTTCCACTCCTCCAGCATGGGATCCAGTCTAGGACCAGGTATCACCTTTAGTTGCCGTGACTTTTTAGTCTCTTTTAATCTGGAACATTTCCCAAACCTTCTTTTGTGTTTTATGACATTGACATGTTTGAAGACTATAGCCCCTGCCCCTTTTTAATACATGTTCCTCATTTGGGGTTTGCCTGGGGTTTCATCATTAGATCCAGGTTATGGGTTATCCCTGGGAATACTGCGGAGGTGATGTGTTCTGAGGATGTCAGATCCATCTGCTCTCATTGGTGATGTCAGTTTTGATCAGCTGGTCAAGGTGCTCTCCGCCTGCCCCTTGGTACGGTAAATATCTCCCTTTTGCTACTAGTAAGCCGAAACCATCTATGGGGACACACGTTAACTCAGGCAAATATCTGCTCCCCAATAAACTCCACCTCTAGTGTTAACATCCAATGGGGATCCTTGCCCAAATCCTTCTTGACTATATACACTTGGTCTCTCCAAATCCTTTCCCAGGACTGGAAACCAGGTTTTCTACGGTTTAGTTTCCTTGCGTCTTTGGTTCTGGTCTGAGTCTTCTCCATGTCCTTCCAATGTCCCCCTTTGACCTTTGGGCAGAACCTAAGATGGAGCAGTAAACTAAGCAACCTCAACTGGAAATGAGCTAATGTGGGTTGTTCCTCCTTAAACCGTCCACCATATGATTTGCATAATATAGTGGCCTGTGAGCACTTCCTGGATCGTTTCCTGATTTCCCCCACCATGCAACCTCCCTCACGCTTTGGTGGCATTTTGTTCAGACTGCCTATCCACATCCCCCAGCCCCCGCAACACCTCCAGGTTCTGTCTTTCCCCGGGTTGAGCCTCAGGGGTGCTTTCCTAGGGGACGGCCGGGCCTGCAGGAACCGAACTCCTGGACTTGCACTGCGTTCTCGGCAAACAGGTCCTGCGCGAGTCCCATCGTCTCTTAGACTGAGTCTGGACGGGCACGGTAGTGCTAGGAGTAAATAATAGCTCGGGGCGGTAGTTCTTCCCGACCCTGGTATTTCGCCCCGTTCTTCTCCGCGCCCGGCGATGCAGGTAAAAGCGCAGGGGCGGGCCAAAGGCCCCGGCGGGCAAGATAACGGGCTCGGGCGGCTGGGACGCGCTGCGCGCGGCTGGCA